TTTTTGTAAGTAAGTGTACTAATTCATATTTTTTTAGTTGCAAAAGCAGATAACCCATTTCAAACTCACTTAAGCCCAAGTGGGGAATTTTTTGGTAAGAAAGTGAGGTATGTCCCATGAAGCCCATGAATAAGTTGATAGCCTCAGGAAGGATAGTAACCAGGAGACAGCCATGGGTAAAAGGTAGGCAATGAGTTTGCTTGTAGTGTCTGTGTGTGTCTCAGGCCATATCGTTTTTCATCTCTGAGCATTTTGCCTTCATTTCTGTCTCCCCTCTCTCTTGTAGAATACTTTGTCTCTTGAAGTACATGGTTGCGCAAAAGTTCTTGTGTGTTCCAACTAAGTTTTCCAGGTGTCCACCCAAGTCGACTTAGCAAAGAAAGCTCAGGTCCCCAGTATGTCTGCTGGGATCCACTGGGTATGATAAGAGTTGGGGAAGTCCCAGAGGAAGCTCAGTTTGATAACAAGTAGACAGCTTGAAACATTTTTAATAGGCATTAACAACAACAACAACAACAAAAAAAAAACCCCGCATCTTCCTTTGTTTAGGACATTTGAGTATTTACTACTCAAAACTTCAAAAAGACTTAAAAGCTGCAAGTATCTTTTCAAATAAAAATGTTTATATTAAAACATGTTTTTAGGAATGCTTATTTATGTACACATTATTCAATTCTCAATAAAGAATTGCTGAGAACCTAACTAGCTCAAACGCAGCACAGAAATGCCAAGATGAATAAGACCAGTTTCTTAAGAATTTCAGGATCTTTCTGGGAAGACAAGTAGGTAGGTGGGTGTCCCAGTTGTATGTGGGCAATGCTATAATAGAGGTATGATCAAGGGAGATCAGAAAAATTATCAACCAACTCTGTGGGGACTGAAATTATATAAGTTTTTTTATTTTAAAATTATTATTATTATTATTATTGCTGAGCAGTGGATTTAACCCAAGAATATTCTACCTCTGAGAAGATGGCAGCATAAGACTACTAGGAATAGCCCAAGGTGCCAAGAAAGTAGGAGAGGAGCGAGTCTGGAAGGCATTGTCTAATCCTTGGCTTCCTCGAGTCCAAATCACATAAACACTAACATGTGAAAATATAGATGTCCTAGCTGCATTTTGGAGTGTCACCACTCTTGAAATAAAGTCCTGTAGCCTCAGACAGTTCGATTAGAGCTGTTAACATTTTAATTCTGGATGACTAAGAGGTGACAGGTGTGCAGCCTGTGAAAGTCACTCAAGACCATTCACAGCATGTGGAGACAAGCAGTACTGAGCCAGGGTGCAGGACACAGCCCAACTCTACAGGCAGGACAGAAATCTATGCGGGGGAATTTATAAAATTTTCTGTTGAGGCTGCTAACCCACTGGAAAAATGTCAGTGGTAGTGAAAAATAAATACACAAAAGTTTCCACATGGGATTTTTTTGGTGATTGTTGATCAACCAACAGCCCACTCCTATTCTTTGAGACACATTACCCAGCCTGAGATAGTATGTAGAAAATGAAAGGTTGTTGTTGTTTTCATTAAAATAGACATGTCTGGGGGAGGGTGGAGAAAGGAAGGAAGCACCTGGACCTTTGCAGAGGAGGAACCAGAGGGGGAGAGAAACATGCAGAGAGAGGGAAACATGGGCACTGCAGTGGAGAGTGAGGAAAGGGAAAGAAGAGAAGTGTGGTAGGCTCTGCATACTACCAGTTCCCAAGGGAATCCCTCTGCATGCTGGCTTTCCCAACCCTATCCCTAACCTGCTCAGCAGTACAGACAGCAATCAAATACAGTATCTTGTTCAAGGATCACGATGTTTGTGTAACTATTACCTGTACTTTACCATAAAAAATATCCAAACCTCACTGTAGGTTTCTCAGTGCCGAATTAAACTGCCTACACCAGAGTTACTTGGGGTGATTGTTTACTTAAAAAATGCAAATTATGGGCTGTTCCATCCCAGATCTACTGAATCAGACCTTCTAGGATGAGAACAGGGTAATTGGAAAATTTAATAAGCTCCCCAGTGATTTTTGTCGTTGCAGTGCTAGGGATCAAATCCAGGGCCTTCCATAGGCTGGGTATAAAAGTATAGAGCCACACCTCCACCCAGATTCTTATACACAGTAAACTCTTGCCAAAGTTTGTATGAAATGAGAGTGCCTAAGATGAGGAGGCAAGTCCTACTTCTCTGTATTCCTACAATCTAGCAGTGGGCGTGACATAGTGAGGTGTCCAATTAAAGTTCACTGATCTGAATAGAGCTAAGAGATTTAATGAGAAAGTCACTTGTGCCATTGCACAAGTAACAGCTGATTTCATTTTTCCATATTCAAATCTATAATACAGATTTTAAACTGTTATATTTGCAATTTAAATTTCTGTTAAACTTTTCAACTTTTTTAATGGTACTGGGGATTGTACTCAGGGGCACTCTATCACTAAGCTACATTCCCAGCCCTTTTTTTTTTTTTTTTTATATTTTGAAGCCGTGTTCTGTAAAGTTGCCCAAGCTGGCTTGGAACTTGTGTGCCGGCTGGGCTAAATAACTGAGAGGTGACAAGCAACTTGAAGGTTGAAGCGGGAACTACTTTATTGCGAGTGAACTGGGAAGGAACTGAGCGAGAACTCAAAGTAGCAGGCACCGAGGTAGCAGGAGCCGCTTCTCTGCCAGACAGCAGAGGTATATATACTTAACTAATTACACACCGCTTAACTTAATTAACATTATCTAGATACAGCAGTCAGCCAATAAGGAATCCTCATCATCTTAATGGTTCGCTGGTGTTGCTTCACAAACCACTCCTCCTGGCAAAGTGTCAGGCACCATCTTGACTTGATTTTGCATCCCCAACACTTGAGACCCTCCTGCCTCAGCCTCCTGAGTTGCTTGAATTACAAGCATGTGCCACTGCGCCTAATAGCTCTTTTATTTTTAGTACCTGTAAACTATTTCATTCAACATGCATAAATATTTTCGTTCATACAGATTTTTTTTTTTAAATTTTTAGTTTTGAAAGGGTCTCCCTTAGGAGAATTTGTACCTGTGCGGTGCTTTTTGGTTTATGAAACCCTTTCACACAATCTTTGTTGCTTCTCAAAACACTCTGTAGGAGAAGCTCTTTCATCATTTTGCAAATTGATATACAGATTGAGAATAAATAACTTGCCTAGGGTAATACAGCTAGGAAGTGGAATGTCAGACTTAAGCTAGGGTCTTCTATGTCTAGTACCATTTCCAAGACACCAAATACTCACTACGTTTTCTGGCAGGAATATGACTTCACAACTTCCTGATGTAAAATCCTGAAATGCAGAATGCAGCAGATGAAATTTACATTTAAAAAGATGATTGGCCAGCCATATCCTAACACAACAGGAGTCAGCTCTTGCCATTTGGGATACTGCAAAAATGTAGGTATTAATGGCAATTTTCAGTGTAAAGAACTTACTATGGTTTAATAATATCTTATGTTGTCTGTATATGACCCAAGCCCGTTTCTGTAATCCTCAAGTGAAGGAGTGTTTTAGTCAGCATTTTCCATCACTATGACCAAAAGACCAGACAAGAACAATTAGAGGAGGAAAATTTTATTTTGTGGTTCATGGTTTCAGAGGTCTCAGTCCATAGATGGCCAACTCCATTGCTCTGGACCCAAGGTGAGGCAGACATTATGGTGGAAGGGTGCAGTGGAGGAAAGCAGCTCAGGACTTGGTACAAGGAAGCAGAAAGAGAGAGAGCTTCCCTTAACAAGGACAAAATATAAGCCCCCAAAGTATGCCCCCAGTGACCTACCTCCTGAAGCCAAACCTCACCTGCCTATAGTTACCATCAATCCCATTTAAATGGATTGATGCATCAGTTCTCATAACCCAGTTATTTCACCTCTGCATGTCTCACACATTAGCTTTTGGAGGGACAACTCATTTAAATCCTAACAAGGGTGTTGGGATTGTTCTGGAACACTCTGAAACTGTAATTAACTTTCTTTAGCAGTACTTATAGGAAGTGGAACAACCACCACAGGTGGTAAGGCAGATAGGAAGGAGGCACTGGAGACTTCAAAGCTCTTCTAACATCAAAACAATTACCACAGGACATTTGAGCAGCAGCTGAGTGAACAGGGGAGGAAGGCTTCACCTGCCAAAAGAAAGGACTGTTTTAAGTTTCTGTTCTCTTTTTGAGATGGGGTCTTGCTGTATTGCCTGAGATGGCCTTGAACTTTTCTTCTCCTGCCTCAGCCTCTCCAGTAGAAGGCACTACAGGTGTGGGCCTGTCTAATAGGGGCATTTTAAGGACACAATGCCCAAGGAGTAACCTGAAGGGTGCAGCCTTTCAAATCAAGGACAAACTGTCCAACTAAGCAGCTGCAGAGGTTCTCTACTAGAGAAGGTTGGAAAGAAAAAAAGTGCTGTTTCAACTTACTACTTTTGTATGCTATAGAAGGTAGGTCTAGTCATTTTCAGTAAAAGTTCCCAACCACTAGAGCTCTCTGAAGATGGAGAAATTCCCTCTAAAGATGGCAAGTTCCTACTCACAAGCTCTGGGGGAAATAGAGGGGAACTGTTTATATATTATAGGTAGAGGAAGGAAAATTATTATTATTATTATTGGTGGTGCTGGGGATCAAACCCAGGGCAGTGTGCATGCAAGGCAAGCACTCTACCAATTGAGCTGTATCCCCAGCCTGAAAATTATCTCTTTTAAGAGATAATTTCAAAACTAGAATTCTAAGAAAATAGCAAACCAGCAATTCTTGTTGAGATATCATGCAGAAAAGGTAGAGTTATGAGCTCAGGCTCTGCCAAATACTGTTCTAGGTACTTGTAACAAAAACTTTTACTATTTGGGTCTGTCAAGTTTCTTTCTTGGAGTATTATCTTGAAAACGAAAGGTCTATCACTATGGTAAGTATGTTAATAAGTCCCATTCAAGTTCTATGTATATTTGGGTGATCCTTTAGAGAAAGGTAATTAAAAAACTGAGGCCAAAAAAATAAGACATAGTGATTAAATTCACTGCTATCTTTATTCCTAGTGTTTCACATTACTAGAATGTATTTGGGCTCAATCAACATCTGTCTTCACATTCTTAAGTCCCTTTTCCCTACAAAGAATGAGGAAATTAGAGGTCAAAGTGTTATATAATATGTCCAGTAAATGCTAGGACTTAAGATGCAAGATTCTTTGTTTATGAGAAAGTTCAATTTTCATTTTCTCTGGAGGCTGAGGGAAGGTGAATTTTACTTGTAGTCTACTTCCTCTCAATATCAGGGATTTCCATTCTTTATAAAACCTAGTCTTTATTAAACCAAATGAATTTCAACCCCACTAAAATACAAAAGAGGCCGGGAGCTGTGGCTCATTCCTGTAATCCCAGTGGCTTGGGAGGCTGAGGCAAGAGGATCATCGAGTTCAAAGCCAGCCTTAGCAACTTAATGAGGTCCTAAGCAACTCAGTGAGACCCTGTCTCAAAAAAATATAAAAAAGGGCTGAGGATATAATTCAGTGGTTGAGTGCTCCTGGGTTCAACCCCCAGGACCAAAAAATAAAATAAAATACAAAAGAGCAAGGTCCACAATACATTGTCCTATGAATTAAGAAAATATGTGAAAACATTTATAAACTGAAAAGCAATGTCCAAGTGATAGTCACATTACTAATAACAATTACAAAACAGTAAAGGTGAAGCAAAAGTTATTGAAGAGTCATGAACTACGTTAATTCAATGAGTTGCTCTGTGAATGAGTTTAGGAACCACCTAAACCTGCAGCTTCTTTCCAAAGATCATCTGGAAACTACCCACCATGCTAATAATGGCTGTAGATTCACTGGACTCCAAACCAAGCTGTGTTAAGAGCTAAATGGAGCCTTTGTTGGTTAGATGGGAAATACAGGGCTCCTGGCAATGCTAGAATGAGCTGGTTCCAGGAGGGGTGTTAACCTGATTTAAAAGGACTTGGAGGGGGTACTGGGAATTGAACCCAGAAGTACTTTACCACTGAGTTACATCACTAGTCCTTTTTTTTTTTTTTTTCCAATTTGAGACGCTTATCCAATGGGCCTCAGTTCCTAGGCAAGACAGTTTTATTGAAGTTCTATTGAATCATTTTAGTAGAGAGTAATCAAGGTTGCATAGCACTATTTTCTTGAATGTCCTTCCTATTTTAAAATTTGGACTATAAAATGGGAAGAAATTACAATTGGATATTACTCTTACCTATTTTCCTTTTATTATACATACTTTAGATTTCAGACTGAATACAAATATTGATCAGAAGCCAAAATACCTCACACATTTCTTATCATTTCAATCCAAGCTATTCTTTCAACTCTGCAATTTTTGTTCGTGTCTCAACAATTACTTAAATAAATATATGAATAAATAGCAATCTAATCCAAATATGCATCTTTCATTTATAATTATCTGAAGCAAGAGATTTAAAGATGGGTAGTTAATCCATCTCACCAAATGCATCTTCCATGCCTGTTCAGTCATGCTTGAATATTCAGATTCAATTTATAGAGAATACGAATACATAACATTGTTAGAGGGAGGCTTCTGGCAGATCCTGTCTGAGAGGGACAAAAGGTCAAACAGTTCTTTTGCCGACCTGTGTCGAAGGCTCTGGGTTTGGTCAGAGGGTAAGAGTTGTCTAGATCTGGAATGGATCATTCATACAAGTAGGTTCTTGTCAGACCAAAAAACAAGACAACACAACGTCCCGCTAGGCAAGAGACCAGATGGAAAGTTACGACAAAATGTGAAATGGGGATGGGAATTAATGGCGGAGAAAACATTTCTAAGATTTGAAATGTAATCTTACCTGGATTGCTGGGGTTACCATCTTGGGGTAATGCCTGGAAATCTTGGGAAAACAGAATCCTATTGGAAACTGGTCACCCAAGTGAAAAACTAATTTACCTTCAAATAACCATGAAGCACTAATATAAACAGTCCTTGATTAAACCCATAGTTTATATGAAGACTTATACAGAGCTCTTTACATTTAGAACTTAGATATTCATAATTAGCTGATGAGTGGACACTTGAAATTTTTCCTATTATGTTGCCTGCAACAGTTTCATTTTGATCATCTTTGTCTGACATCAGTTCTGCCCCCCGCCCCGAAATTATTGGTGAAATAGAAGTATTGAGGCTTGCTATAGGTGGCAAGTTTTGGCTTTAACTAGATAACTTTAAGTTGATCACTGTGTGATCAACTGTTAAGGCAAAGAATGAATGAATACACATGAAGTTTTTAAAAATACTGAAGGCTTCATTGGGGTAAGCCACAATATATTGATATCTTGAGAAGGATCTTTTCCCATCCCACATACATTGAACAAGATTAAGTCTATTGTTCAATTTTCATTGATTTAACTTAATTATACATTTTCAGAGACTGTGCATGTACTACTATGTGGGATTGTATGTGGTCTAAAGGTTAGACTCTAAATCAATTATTTTTAGGGACTATGTACAGCATAGATTCATAGAACATTAAGAAATAGAAGGGTCCTTAGAGATCATACACTTCAAAATTATAGTGAAAATGAAAGAATTGGAGGTCACGAGGATTATTTCACAAGCTAAAGCTTCACTACTAAACTAAAGGTGGTGCAAAGACTAGAACCTCGGGGTTTGTCTAACTCAGCATTCTTCCCACCACTTTTATTTTAGATGTTCAGAAGTTTACAATTCTGTCTGGTTTCTCAAAAGTCATGGAAGGTGACTCCTAATGGCCTTAGAAACTATAGTGCCTCCAGCTGCCTAGTCCATGAATGCTGTGAACCTTGCTCCATAAAATTAACAGTATCAAGTAAGAATTAAATCTCAAATCAATACTGGCTGATGTTGCAAATGTTTTAAAATGTTTTCTGCATTTTATCCTCTAGGCTTAAAGCTAAATACTGCTTTTTTCAGAGATGTCTTCTCTGGCACTTATCTATGCTTTTCCTGATTTTTTTTTTAATATAACTTTCTAGCATACATTTTGAAATAATACATTTATTTACTTATTATGTATCTTCTCCAATACATTCTAAATTCAATGAAGACAGGTCATTTCTGTTTTGTTAATAACTGTTTATCTGGCACCTAGTACAGTCTTGGCATATAACATAAGCTCAAATATAATTTTTGAATAAACAAATGAATTTCTCTCTATAATTATGGTTAAGGCAAGCCTTAGGGAAACCCTAATTATCCCTTTTATTCTTTCCTTAACTTGGTATGTGAGCCCAGGGAATTAAAGTTCCAGGGAAGTTGATTTTGCTGAGACTTTTAGCTCAGCAAAATCTACCAATTAGATTCAGAAATGGAATGAACAATTTTGTAGGATGCTGAGTTCTGTCAAGAAGATGCAGAAACCACCAGTTGCCTAGGTACATATAGGTACCTGCATTAGGCAGGTCAATCTCGACAATCTCAAGTGTCTTCGCACCCTAAGGTTTTGAAATTTGTTTCTTTTCAACTGTTTGATTTTGAATTGGGTTAAGAAAAATTACATACACAAACTCTTTAAGAAATAATCTAAGTTATCTAATGAGATTTAGAAAATTCATTATTCAGGCACGCATGCCCTTTTACAATTACTTAGTATATAAACATTCTACTGAACATACAGTTTGCTATAGGTCCATAAAAATGCAACTCAAAGAAGACTAAAAGACTAACACAAGAGTCTTAAAAATGTCTGTGCAGTTTTTTCTTTGGTGTGTATGTGTGTGTGTAGCCCAGGCTCTCCCACATTCTAGGCAAGTGCTCTCTACTCCTGAGCAACACCCCCAGTTCTCAAATCAGTTTTAAACACACCACACACACACACACACAAACACACACACACACACACACACACTTTCATGTGATTACTGTATCAACTCTGTGAAGAAAATTATGCCTGAGCATTTACAGAGTAAGTGGCTTATTTAAAGAACTAGAATTGTCAGGTTTCAAACTCCCAAATTACTGCTTGTCTCATATAGGCCAGGCCAGTTTTTTGACTCCAAGAATTACCTATTCTTTAGGTTTAGCAAAATTTCTATTCCAATCCTGGATATAAGAGATCTTTCTTCCAAACTTCACTGGGAAAGGATCAAGAGGAATTTAAGAATAAAATTTTTGATAGGGTATTAACTATCAGAAAGTTATAAACATCTAATCAGAATGGTGATAAAATATTTTAATACAATATCAAAATAATTTAATGCAATATCTCTTTAAAGATTAAGTTAATAAACAATTAATTAATAACAAGGGATTGAAGCCAGGGGTACTTACCCACTGAGACATATCACTAGCCCTTTTTAAAAAATTTGAGACAGGGTCTCACTAAGTTGCTTAAGGCCTTACTAAATTGCTGAGGCTGTTTTGAATTTGTAATCCTCCTGCCTCACTCTCCTGAACAGCTGGGATTACAGGCATGGGCAACCATACAACCATACCTGGCAAGATCAAATTTATTAGATGTGATTTCTTTCTACCCAATCCAATGAAAGAAAATTTTAATTCAGAATAGCAAGTTTGTTAAAGTGAATCCCCCGAAAAGCACAGAGAACAATATAGGCATTTATCACAGATTAAACAGCAAGGGAGAAAAGATCCAACATTTTATTTTTAGCTGCTAGTTGTTTCTCAAAAGTCACACAGGGAAGTAATCTACTGATTAAAGTTAAAGTAAAATATGCTCTCAGAGTTTGAAAAGAACTTTGAGACCATCTAGTTCAATTTCTTCCCCCTTTTTTTTGGGGGGGGGGTACTAGGGATTCAACCACTGAGGCATTCAACCACTGAGCCACATCCCCAGACCATTTTGTATTTTATTTAGAGACAGGGTCTTACTTGAGTTGTTTAGTGCCTCACCCTTGCTGAAACTGGCTTTGTGATCTGCCAGCCTCCTGAGGTGCTGGGATTACAGGCTTGTGCCACCACGCCTGGCTTCTTCCTTTCTTCTTTTTAAGACAGGGTCTCACTGTATTGATCAGTCTGGCTTCAAGTGATCTTCCTGACTCAGCATCCAGGTGACTTGCTTTTTTCTTAATTGAGGTAATGGATTTGAAAGTTCACTTGCTGTAATTAACCCTTCTTGGGTGTGCTTGTGTTTCCAGGAAATGCTTTCAGCTTTCTAAGAAAATCATGATCATTTCTGTTTTTTAACGTTTTGTACCTTATGGCAGAATAATTATATATTTATTTTTCCAGTACTGAGGTTTAAATCTGAGGGTGTTCTACTGCTGAGCTACATTTCCAGCCCCCTCCCCATATTTTAAAATTTTGAGACCGGGTCTCACAAAGTTGCCAAGACTGGACTCAAACTTGTGGTCCTCCTGCCTCTGTCTCCCAAGTAGCTGGGATTACAGGAGTGTGGCACTGTGCCAACCCAGAATAATTATATATTGAAATTCACATTTCTAAAGTTCAAACATGTATTCTCTGCTTGCACATTTGTTCAAGTATTGTGCCTCTGCCCTAGGGTACTTTTCCTTAACTAAATTTTCAGCTATAAAAGACATGAATGAGTAAATCTTGGAAAAGGGATAACATCTTTGATATTTTCAACTCCTAAGATGCACTGTAGGTAGCGTTCAAATCCCATCCCAAATCCTCCATGTGGCACAGATCCAAACTGACGAAGGTCCAAATACCTGTTTTTAAAAACAAAGAATTTTTACCTATAAACACTATATGAAATCAAATGTTATGATTACAATTTTGTTTCAAAAGTATTTTGCAACCATTTGTTATAGTCCACATCATTGTGGTAGACCAGACCAGTCTTTCCCCTCCACAGAGATAACAGAAACACAGAAGTTAAAGTGATCTACCTATACAAGTTTACCCAGACAGGCAGCAGTAGTTCCTGTTGTGTAGCTGTGGATTTTGGTCACCTGTTTTCCTTTTTCTTGTTAAATTACTTATGTACTTATATACAAAATACTTGCCTCATGAGGCTGCAGGAAATTTATAATAGCTTTACTAGTTTTTTAAAAAATATATTTCTCTTCCATATCTGTTATGTTGCTAATGATCTTTGTTCCTCCCTGTCATCCAAATCATATTGTTCAATACATGCAGGAGAATGAAGAATTTTACCTGACATATAACAGAAAGATATGCCCTTGATTAGACTGTATGCTATATCAGAGGCAGGCACTAGTCTTAATCAGCCTTTTATCTTCAGAGAATGTTCTAGAGTAAATGCTTACTACATGAAGATTGTTTAAAAGAACAAAAGTATATTCTTGAGGGCTTCAGTAAGAAGAAACTTCTAAGCTGGGTGCAGTGGTGCCTGCCTGTAATCCCTGTGACCTGTGAGGTTTAAGGCAGGAAGACTGCAAATTCAAGACTAGCCGTGGCAAATTTGTGAGGCCCTATGAAATTTAGCAAGACCCTGTCTCAAAATAAAAAATACAAAGAACTAGGGATGTGGCTCAATGGTTAAGTGTCCCTGGGTTCAATCTCCAGTAAGCCCCCCACCCCCAAAAAAAAGAAAGAAAAAGAAACTTCTAGTTCTTTGCTTCAGGCCCAGCAAAGACACCCCAAATCATTTTTCTGGTTGGCTAGACAGCCTCAGATAGCCATACGTTAGCATGTTCTATTCCCACTTACAACCGCATGGCTAAAAAATGGTATAAATATGACTGAAATGCAGATTTCAATATACCAGTATGGAAAAAGTAATTTTATGAAGAGAAGAAAAGAAAGACTACAAATATTATTATTATTGGTGGGAAAGCTGAGCTATATAATATGAATTAAACTAAGTTTATTGTTTCCTGAATGATCTGTAAAATCAATTCCACAATAAAACTTAAGCAGCACAGCTGATAGCCATTTGTCTCCTTAAGAATAAAGACTATCATCTATTTTCCACTATCAATAATAATGGCTGGATGTATTGATATTTTAAGAAGTTAAGATTAAAACTTATATCTCTAAAATAAAAGATGAATTGTAACTAGATGAGTTTAATCAGGTGAAAGAACAATATGCCAGAGGTTATTTAACATAAACTCCAGATTGGTAAGAACTATAAGGAATAAAGGAAAGAAACACAGTCTGAGTAATTAAAATGTTTGATAGCTGAATTCATTTTAAGTTTACAAGGCACAGAGACAGGGTATACTCTGATTTATGAAAAAACAAAATGAGATGAAAAGCATACCAAACTTTGTCATGAATACCTTTAGGACCTGATGGCTCTTAGAAGTCTAGTAATAGTTTCAGATGTCTCTAAATTTCTCATACATTGATATCTAACCACTGACATGAATGTCTGCAAACTGCAATCAGCAGAGAGATTCACTTTATTACATTTTTCTTGCCTTTGCATTAATAGATAAAAAATTCAATTCTATGAAAAAAGTTTGCCAATGTATATATGATCTGATTATTATTATATTGATTCTAGGGTAACCAGATATAGAAGAGATGCTACAAAATTTGAGGGATTAGTTACAGATTTTATTTGCACAAGGCACATAAAATAGGAAATGACTACACTCTGTTCAGGGTCATGGGAATACAAATAAAAACTTCTATGTAATGCTCAGCTCAGTGGCTAGAGTAAGAATCATTAAGGGTCTCATTCTTACCATTGGTAGGCTTCTGTGAGTCCTGATCTATAAAAGGAAAATAACAGAATTGTTTTAGGCAATGGGAGTAAATATACATAAATGTATTATTGTCAAATATTTATTCTGAGTTGCGTATAAAGAGCTCTTTGTAAAGAAGTAAACAACAAAGCCTGTGCTCTCTATACAACAGAGTCAAGAAGCTGAAACTTTATAGTAAGTTAATCAATAGCCCAAGGTATTATTCAATAATCAGTACAGACAACAGGTGCTATGGAATGAAAATAGAACCCCAAAGAAGGGATTCATCTGAGATGAACTTCTTATTCCGTGTCATAATTAGGCCAATTCTGGTGGCACATGCCTGTAATCCCAGAGACTGAGACAGGAGGATCTTAAGTTTGAGGCCAACATGGGCAACTTAGCAAGACCCTGTCTCAGAATAAAAAATAAAAAGGGCTGGGGATGTGACTCAGTGGTAGAGTGCCCCTGTGTTCAATTCTGCTTACTGTAAACAAAACAAAATGACATGACACTATTATAACTAGTTAAGGTGTCTGGCAGACCTGAATGAACAAAGGACACATGGACAAAACCTTCATTCTCATTATTAAAGCAATAACAATAATTCTGAGGCTGCCTTCATAATATTGTTTCAATTTGTTTCTTGTTTAACTTGAGAAAAATGGATAACATTTTAAGTTCTTTGTGCTCATTAAAGTTGATCTTAGATCATTAAAAAGGTGTTTGGGACCACAGGGTATCTGAGTGATGAGAATGCTGAAAAATTTAATATACAAAAGTACAGAAAATAAGAACAGCAGCCACAGACAGATCCCTGATATAGGGAAACATATCTCTACTTCATTAGGAAGGGTAAATTTGGACAGTATCAAATATTAGGTAAACATTTAATGTTATGAGGAAAGGTTTCCTGAAGGAAGGAAGCAAGCAAAAAAAACAGACCAATTAATCTTTCAACAGATGAGGTTTCTTGCCACGTGAGTTTTATTGTGCTTTAAAAAAATAACTCATGAGATTGGGGTTATGGCTCAGTGGCAGAGCACTCGCCTCGCACGGGAAAGACCCTGGGTTCAATCCTCAGCATTTCATAAAAATAAATAAAATAAAGGTATTGTGTCCAACTACAACTAAAAAATAAATATTTTAAAAAACCTCAGTGAACATTCAAATACTTTCCATCTAAATATATGACCCTCACTTCAATTCTATAACTTTCCCAGGACTTTCTAATGCTTTAGTAGGAGTAAGGAGGGCACAGGTAATAAAGGGTCTTCTCAGAACCTATTTACCCCACTTCTGTTGGAACCTAATATAGCAGAGCAGTTCAGAAGACAGGAATCAGAGAACTGCACTGCCCAAGAGATTTACAGGTTGGGATCTTGGAAAAGCATCAACTTTTAAAGCATTTCTCCGTTTGGAAAAGAGGTCGTAGAGGTCGTACAAATGGCTAATTCAATAGGATATTTTCAAACAATTAAGGCTTTCCCAGGTTGTGAAGAAACCTAGTAGTATCTGGAAAGGATTTAGCATACAGACATGGGAAAGTCTTTCTTTTTTTTTTTTTAAGGTTAGCAGAGCAAAGTAGAAATCATGGAAAACAGAGGTTTATAACCTTGGTTAGTTTAGGAAGTCACTGTGGTTTGTTGGCAGACCATGCATATACTGGAGTGGTAGTTCAATTAGAAATATGATTCCCTACTTCCCATCTCTAAAACATTTTCTATGTGTTTATGGAGCCCTTTCCCAGGTCTCCAATAGCAATTTAAAATAAAGTTATTCAAATAGCTAAATCAAGATCCATATAGAGGAGACAACCTGAGGAGGGAAATCTGCTTATTCCAAGTGCTAGCTTTGCAGATATTTTTAGTAATTTTCTTTTTCCATCTTTATCCTTTTCCTGGTTTGATCTGTCTTTATGTTCCCATGGGAGTCTGCCATTCATAAAAAGGGAAAAGAAAAATGTAGGACAAGCTTTGAGGGGGAAACATCCCTCTTCCTTTCTTTAATTTTTAAAAAGGCTACTTTCCACACCTATGTACAGGCAAACACTGCTGTGGGCTTGTTTGGTCTTTAAGACAGTGAAGCTCAGAAAGGTTAGAAACACCTTGCTTAAGGCAATAGAATCTGAGATGCAGGTCTGTAGGTCCCATGTGTGTTTCTGGTACTTTCTGTAACTATCTTTGGGTAACTCTATCCCAGTTTCTGACATGTGCTTCTTTTAGGTCAGAATAATACCTGGCCAGCTGTTGCTTTAAGAAGTGATACCGTTCCTCCCTGAGGCTGCCTCCAAAGAGCTCTCCAACTCCAGGAACAAGAAGATCAACAGCAGCTACCTAAACAGGAAAAACAGTCATAATCAGCATTACATTTTCAGGTGATTCCAGCAACAGCTACTCAAGCAAGTGGAATGTGTTTTTAGATAACCTTATAACTGGCTATTTTACTGCTTACCAGTGTCTTATTTACATCTGTCCACATTTCTGTCATAAATATAAAATGTTTAATATTATCTTTAGAATAATACTATAGAAGAGCCAGGCATGCATGCCTGTAATCCCTGTGGCTTGGGAGGCAAAGACAGGAGGACCGTTAGTTCAAAGCCAGGCTCAGCAAAAAGCGAGGTGCTAAGCAACTTCGTGAGACCCTGTCTCTAAATAAAATACAAAATAGGTCTGGGGATGTGACTCAGAGGTCAATGCCTCTGAGTTCAACCCCCAGTTCTCCCAAAATAAAATAAAATAAAATAGGGCTGGGATTTGGCTCAGGCTCAGTGGTTAAGTACCCCTGGTTTGAAACCCCTGTACCACAAAACAAAACAGTGCTACACAAGTTGCAGGTGGTCAGTTTTTCTTCTCCCCTCCTGTCAAGAGTGTATTTTCTTCACAAATGTGCTGTTCACTATAAAAATTAAAAAGTTTTAAAGTTATAAATTATTAAAAAAATCAGTTATCAGGCTGGGGATATAGCTCAATAGGTACAGTGCTTGCCTAGCATGCACAAGGCCCTAGGTTCAATCCCCAGCACCACCACCACCACCAAAAAAAAAAAAAAAAAGCTGTTCTATTGCATTAGGCTGGGGCTGTAGCTCAGTGGCAGAGCGCTTGCCTAATATGTGTGAGGAGGCACTGGGTTCAATCCTTAGCACCAAATAAAGGCCTGCTGTCTATCTACAAGTATTTAAAAAAAAAAAAAAAAAAGCTTTGGGCTAGGGTTGTAGCTCAGTGGTAGAGCACTTGCCTAGCACATGTGAGACCCTGGGTTTGATCCTCAGCACCACATAAAAATAAATAAATAAAAACAAAGGTATTGTGTGCAACTAAAAGAAGTAAATATTAAAAAAAAAATCAGTTATCACTATGAAGAAGCAATTGCATTTTGGCTACTTCCTTTCAGGATTTTTTTCTTTATACATTTAAGAAGAGTAAGTTAGAGACCAAATTACATTTAAAAACTCACCATTCTAATTGCTTTGCCAATATTATAAAATGAATATTTTCTCTATGTCAAGAAAAATATATTTAATGTTACATAGCTATATAGTTTAATGGTTTAGAAATATCACAGTTTACTTAAACTGCTATGTACGTGTGTGTACATATTTGTTTTCTCATAAATAGTATGTCAATAAAGAATTTTCTTCTTTTTCTTTTCTTTTTTTGGTGCTGGGGACTAAAATCAAGGCCAAGCACACACACTCCACCACTGAGATATATACCTCTAGTCCCTATAATGAAGACATTTCTTTTATTTTGTGGTACTGATGATTAAACCAAGGAGTATTTCACTCATGAATCCAGCCCTGTTTTTCTTACACTTTATTTTAAGACAGGATCTCATTAAGTTGCCCATAAATCTTGCAATCTTCCTGCCTCAGCCTCCCAAGTCACTGGGAATATAGGTATGTGCCACCATGCCTGGTTAAGAGATTTCTTTAATTTGTAGTATTTCATTAGGTCATAGTAACTTTTCATTATCAATCAAAGAAGTACAAATTAAAATAATGATATACTATTTTGGAGTGTCTTAGCAAAGATAAAACAATATAAATTATATAGATAAGAGAATGGATGAATCAGTACCCTCATGCACTTGATATAATCTTTTCTGGTTAGCAACTTGGCAACAGATAATCAAAAGTCTTAAAAATGTAATATGCTTTGAGTCAGCAATAGCAATTCTAGGAACTGGTCTTAATAAAATAATCAGAGATGAATAAAAAGATTTCTGCACAGGGTGTTTATTACAGCATTACTTATAATAATAAAAAATTAATGTGTACACCAACAGGAGACTATTAGATAAATTTTAGGCATGGATACAAAAAAAGACCGATATGTACATAATATGATTTAATTGTGTTGCCCCTGTGATACAGTGGGATTGTAGTATTGTGGGATTTCGGGCTGGGGTTTGGCTCAGCAGTAGAGTACTCACCTAGCATGTTCAAGGCCCTGGGTTCAATCCTTAGCACCACATAAAAATAAATAAGTAAAATAAAGGTATTGTGCCCAACTACAACTAAAAAATAAATATTAAAAAAAAGTTCCTTTCCTTCTTTTTTTTTGGTATTAGGGAATAAACCCAGGGGTACTTAACTACTGTGCCATATCTCTAGCCCTTTTAAATATTTTATTTAGAAACAGGGTCTTGCTAAGTTGCTTAGGGCCTCACTAAATTGCTGACCTAGCTTTGAACTTGCAATCATTCTGCCTCAGCCTCAGATCCTGAATAGATTACAGGTGTGCACCATTGTGCCCAACTTCAAAACAAACTTTTTTTTTCTTTTTAAAATTTTTTTAGTTGTAGACAGACAAATACCTTTACTTTATTTATTTATCTTATGTGTGCTGAGGATTGAACCCAGTGCCTCACATGTGTGAGGCAAGTGCTCCATCTCTGATCCACAACCCCAGCCCTTCAAAAAAACTTTTGGTAAAGAAAAACGACAACTTGATATTTTAGTTTGTATTTCCTTAGTTACCAGAAACATTTAATGTTTTAGAATGTTAGTTTGGTATGTGTATTACTTTGTGACTTATCAATTCTTCGGAGGCTTTTGAGAGTCCAAGAATCTGAAGGTATAACACTAAGGTTTAGTACAACAAATGAGATTAGGAATTCATAAAATATTCCATTCTTTAAATGTCACAGATACTACAATTTCTTTTTTTAAACTTTGTCACACTTTACCAATAGACCACACCCCACTTTGATTACAGAACTGTTGACTGAGATACTTTACAGACATTTGAGATTAATAAAGAATCATTCTAGAATATTCTCCCAATGATGTATATCTCATCCTCATTACTATCATTAAAGAGAAAACATCAGGTATGATTCTCATCGTGAGGCTGAATTACAGGGAGAGAGAACAAAGATTCACCAATGGGTCCTACTCTTACTAAATCTCTTGCCTCTCAATGAGGTGTTGAGGACTAAGAGTATAAAAAGCTCCTTGCTCTGCCGCAGCACTGCCTGTTGATACTGGGCAATAATTCCATTAACCTGGGTATCTACATGATCATCCAGGTTGTTAAAATTTGGGTTTAGTAACTGAGACATGATAAACATGTAATTAAATCGAACCAACACTGTGGATAGGTAGACAAGAGAGCATGACTAATGTGATACAATTCTCATGGGCTGCACACTTAATATGATTAGTCTCTACTAGGACCCTCCAATTTTTCGAAAAAAGGAGAAAGTCCAAAGGTTTTTTTTTTTTTTTTTTTTTTTTGGTACTAGGGATTGAACTCAGGGGCACTTGACCACTGAGCCACAACTGTAGTCAAATTTTGTATTTTATTTAGAGACAGGGTCTCACTGAGTTGGTTAGCACCTCGGTTTTTTTGAGGCTGGCTGGTGATCTTCCTGCGGCTGCTGGGATTATAGGCATGTACCACTGCATCAGGCCAAAGGGAGTTTTTATGAACACAGAAAGACTGGCATCTTTATTTCCTAATATTTTGCTTTGAGACATGGATAAATAAAAGGCCAATGGCTACATAGCTAAATAAGAGGCCAACGACCACTGATGAAGTGACGAATGACAGTTGTTCTGCTTTTTCTATGTAGTCCTTCAGCATTAAACAAGAGAACCCTTTCTTGCTTGCTCTTGCTGAGAATATAACTAAGACAAACAAAAACTCCTCTGGGATCTTAGTACTTCTGGCAGAAAATTAGGCTATTCTGGACCTTAGTTTTTTAAATGCTATTTTAAAGAAGTTTAAAAGACATCTATTTTTCTTTGATTACAAACCTCTTTTAACATTTGGGTTTATGGGATAATTCACTGTGTAACTATACTGGTTTTATAGCTTTCTGTCTGGTTTTTATTTATCTGGAATATTTGCAACTAGAGTAGAACTGGAAACTTCTGAACCTTTTGCGTTAGTACCAAAATCTTATGCCCTGGTATGGTTGATACTCATAAATATTTTTTTAAAAATTTTAAATTAAGTTGTAGACAGACACAATATCTTTATTTTTATTTGTTTATTTTTATGTGGTGCTGAGGATCGAACCCAGGGCCTAATGCATGCAAGGCAAGTACTCTACCACTGAGCTACAACCCCAGCCTGACCTATACATAATTTTTAAAAAATTTCTTCCTATCATGCCTTCCTGATTACTAGGGTACATAACTAGTTATATCCAATTATTTCTGCTTTGGCTATTTTAAAATTAAGGTGACAGTTGCTGTATTAGTCAGCAAAGGTTATACTGTCATCATACAAAATCTCCAAAGTGCCAGGTGCAGTGGCACATGCCTATAATCCCAGTGACTTGGAAGGATCACAAGTTTCAGGCTAACCTCAGCAACTTAGTCAGATCCCATCTCAAAAAATAAAAAAGGACTGGGGATATAGCTTAGTGGTAAAGTGCCCCTGGGTTCAATTACCTATTCCAAAACAAACAAAACAAAACCCAAACCAAAAAACAAAACAACTCCCTCCCCACTAAAAAACAAAACAAAACAAATAACAAAAACCACTCTAAAGCTTACATGAGTTTCTCAGTCTCAGCATTAATAACATTTTTGGCTACACACTCCTTTGTTGTGAAGACCTGAACCATGCACTGTGAGATTCTATCCCCCACCCCCAGTACTGGGGATTGAACCCAGGGGTACCCTATCCCTGAGCTACATTCTCAGCCCTTATTATTTATTTGGGTACCAGGAATTGAAATCAGGGACACTTAACCATTGAGCCACATCCCCAGACCTATTTTGTATTTTATTTAGAGACAGGGCCTCACTGAGTTGCTTAGTCCATCTCTTTTGTTAAGGCTGGCTTTGAACTCCTGATCCTCCTGCCTCAATCTCCAG